AAAAATAAGAAATAAAGAAATAAATAAAAAATAAATATATATTTTTTTAAAACTGTTATAGTGGGGCTTTTACACACCGACTTCCAGAAGCATCCAGGGACTGTAGGCCTCCCCGCCCCCGTTGTCCCCCCGGCACCGGAGGGATCCGGAGGGCCGGTCCAGGACCAGCGGGAGCCTGAAGGTGGCGCTCCTCCCTCCGGTCCTGTTCCCGATCACCTGTGAGCCGTTAAAAAGCTGCATGACGACGGGCAGAGCTCCCCTGGCTGACTGGCAGGTGACTAACGCAGAATAATTGCTGAAACGATCGTTCTCCGAAGGCTCCTTCTGGACTTTGTAGGAGATTTCAGGGTTCGACACCAAATCTGAGGGGAACAGGAAGTAAAGGGGATTTACTCTGATGTTTTACATCTTAAAAAAAACTGAAAGGAACCAAAGGTTCGGCACTTTTTCCAGCGAACCTTTGACTGTGATGAAGACTGTGGAGCTGTTGGTGGTGAAGACCGACGTGTTGTTGAAGCTGTTGGTGGCCACACAGACGTAGGAACCACTGTCTCCGGAGGAGGTTCTGAGGGAGGAACGGAGAACAGTTCCTGAGACGCTACGCCTATGATTAGGTCAGGAAAAGGATGAAAGGATGGAGGACGTTCTGTACAGCCAGAGGGTTCTGGGTTGGAGTCCCGGGGGAACCAGGAACCAGGACCTTTCTGGGTTTGAGTCCCGGGGGAACCAGGACCAGAGGGTTTTGGGTTGGAGTCCCCGGGGGAACCAGGAACCAGGACCTTTCTGGGTTCTAGTCCCGGGGGAACCAGGACCAGAGGGTTCTGGGTTGGAGTCCCCGGGGGAACCAGGAACCAGGACCTTTCTGGGTTCTAGTCCCGGGGGAACCAGGACCAGAGGGTTCTGGGTTGGAGTCCCCGGGGGAACCAGGACCAGAGGGTTCTGGGTTGGAGTCTAAGGGGAACCAGGACCAGAGGGTTCTGGGTTGGAGTCCCGGGGGAACCAGGACCTTTCTGGGTGGAGTCTGCATGTTCTCCTGTGTCTGTGGGTTCTCTCCGGGTTCTCCGGCTTCCTCCCACCGTCCAAAAACCTGCATGTTAGGTTGTTGGACTCCAAACTGCCCTCAGTGTGAGTGTGTGTGGTTGTTGGTCCTTGCGTGTCTCTGTGTGTTGACTCTCACATAAAACTGACCTGCTGATTATGAAACGGTCGTCCTCAAACGAGTGGACAGGAGACGGAGGGATGAGGCGTCCGTCCCTCAGCCACCTGAAGTTCACGTGGTTTCCGGTTCTGAGTTCACAGCGGAGCTCCGCCCGTTCTCCCTCGTAAAACTCCAGAGGGCCCGACGGCACAATCTTTGCCTCCGTTACCGGCTCTGTGGGACAAACGGGCAGAGATACCCAAATCCAGATTGGTTGTCGACTGGTTTCCGAGATGTTCCGGCTCGAATTTCTTAGTTTGCTCAACTCAACTCAACTCAACTTTATTCATAAAGCGCTTTCAGTCAGCCAAAGCTAAAATCAAAGCGCTGTACAGGCCATTTGAGCTAATCATAAAACACAATTATCACCTCCACACAAGACAAACTCAAAGATTAAAAACAGTAAGAGCAAAAAAACATTAAAAAAAAACAAAACCAAGTAAGACAGGGAAATTAAAACAACTAAAATAAAGTCGAAGTCTCACTCAAAGGCCTGAGAGTAAAAGTGGGTCTTTAAAAGTGTTTTAAAAGAGCTGAGTGTAGGGGCCTGTCTGATAAAAAGGGGGAGGGCATTCCACAGTTTCGGAGCTGCCACAGAGAATGCTCGGTTTGATTATAAAATATCTGCTTCACACCACAGAACTCAGATCTAAACTCTCCAAATGTGTCAATCTGTTTCCATCCAAAGAGGCAAGCCCAAAACACAAAGACCCCAAAGGATCCTGGACCAGGACCCTCTGGATCTTTATATCCGGTGGTCTTAATGTTTTGGCTGACCAGTGCAGATCCACCACACGGAGCTCTTTCTGATGCCATAAAACTCAAGTTTTGCTTTGAGTCATATATTTTTTTCGGTTGAAAAATTTGAAATATCTATAATGTGTGAATTTTTGGATTTTGGGAAGTTGGTTGTGTTTTTCAGGTGTTTTTCTTGGGTTTCTTACTTGTCATTTGTCAATTAAGTACTGATTTATCTCTGTTCAGAGCTCACTCTCAGGTTGCGTAACTTGTGTTTTTGAGTTATTGATTCATCTGGATTGCTTCTGTTTTTATATGTTTAGTGAATTGTTTTCAATTTTGCTTTGGGTCAGTTGGTTCTGTCCCACCTTAGCTCGGTTATATTTCCTTTACTCGTGTAGCTATCCTCAGTCTCCCTGTTTTAGCATCAGCTGTATTCAGTTTCAGCTGCTCTGCGTCTTTCCTCACAGTATCTCTAAAACAGCTCTTTTCTAGTCTAGTCAACAAAAGCAGTGAAAGTCTAACAGATGCAACTCAGACTGAGAAAAAGGCCAAACAAAGGGCCCTTTCCAACCCTCATGCAGAGGTTGATGTGCTTTTCAGTGTCATTTCCTAAAAGGGACTTGTTAGAATTTGGCTATAATTGCTCACTTTAGCATCGTATGCTATCACATGATCAATGTAAATTACTGATTGTTTTATTTTCTTTTATAACTATATTTTGTGTTGAAGTCTCTTCTCTCTCTTTTTCTCTCTCTGTTGCATTAGATCCACCTTTAGGTCAACACACACACACACACACACACACCATTTGTTACCACATTCCTGTCATCTGCATGAATTAGGACCTGGCCTGTTCCTGCCCAGAGGTAACTGGCCAATAGGACTTGGTTGTGTCCAGTCCTCCTTTGAGGAGGCGGATGGAGCCCAGGAGATAATGCCCATCACCCAGATCTCAGGGCTCTTTGCCCACTGAGACCCAGAGAGAGGTTTTTGTCTGTTAGAGCCCAGCTGATACACTTAACTCTGTCCAATAAATGTCATTTTTATACTTTTATCCACTCTGGTTTATTCTCAGGTTTCCAACTAAAGAACCGGGCTAACAGACTCACCGATAACCTTCAGAAAGTGCACGTTGCTCACGGAGGAGTTTATCTGTTGGGTGTTGTTCTGCAGGCTGGCGACGCACACCAGGAAGCCCTCGTGCACACGTTTGATTGATTTGGGAATTACGGCAACTTCCTCCCCGGCCAGAAGGGTGTATTCGCCAAACAGGTCTTCACGCTCCCCCCTCCTGTAAAAGGCCGGTTTTATTAGTGGATTTAACCCTATAATGCCAAATGTATCATATCTGATTCATTCGGTTTCTGAAGTCTTTTGGATCTGAGACTTTTAGCATCATTCAGTGGTAAAAGCTTTGCTCAAACCCCTGTTGTACACATTCAGATATACCTGATAACAGCCAGTAGAAGACTACACCAAAATACATTTTTGACTTATTGCACGTTAGTTTGATCAAAATAATTTCAGTTTTTTTTTCTTCATATGTTGTTTAGGGGGCAAAAAAAAGACTTCACACTAAAAAAAATCCAATATTCTTCATATTTTTCTTGGATCAGGCTGTAAAGGGTTCAACTAAAGCCATGAATTTGAATCTCCTTACTTGAAAAGCCGGAGCAGGATGGACTGATTTCTGGGGTTTGGGATTTCACATCTGAACTCTACAGCTTTTTTCACCAAAGCCTCGGAGGGTCCGGATAGATATGGACTCTCCAAAGGAATCCCACCTGTCAAACAGACATAACCGTGACTCCCAGGTGTGCGTTTCTGTGGAAGGACGAAGCTAAAAACAGAAACAGAAGCTTACCGCTCTCCCCGGGGCAGAAACTCAGTCCTGCACACACAAACCAGACAAGAGATGTTTGGCTGTTATAAATAAAGCCCGGCACCTCCTAACCAAACAAGCTTTACACACATTATACTGCACATTATACTGTTTCAGCCCTATTTAACTTATTGTGTTGAAGTGTGGCGTCACACTTACAAAACAAACATTCAACCATTGATTATAATGCAAAAGAAAGCAATACGAGTAACGAATAACAAACATTATAGAGATCACACTCACTGTTTATTTCAAATTTAGTTCTCAAATTTGTAGATCTGATCAATTTCAGAACCGCTCAAATTCTTTATAAAGCAAGAAATAACTTACTTCCTGCGCACATACAACAAGTGTTTTCTGATAGAGATGGAAAATATAATCTAAGAGGAAAATTAAATGTCAAAACTAAGTATGTTCGAACAACAAAAAGAAGCTTTAGTTTATCAATTAGCGTTAGAGTGAAGCTCTGGAACAGCTTGCCTGAAAACATTAAACAATGTAAAAGCATCCAGCAATTCAAAAAAGAATAGAAGAAAACTATTTTTGATGAATACAAAAAAGAGTAATATATAAAAAGTTGGTATACTGTTCGTCTTACAGTAATTAATTGTCCTTTACCACCATGACACATGTAACTGAGGGGTAGGGCTTAATAAGCTTATGCTTCATCCTACTCCTTTTTGAAACATGAGGCATGTTTATGAAGCATTCAATGTAAACATTGTTAAATCATATCATTTTTCAAAATAAATTAAATGAAACGAACGAGACGTCTCAGAGAGAATAAAGAGTTTCTGTTTAACGTGAATAAGTTTGTGTCGCTTTGCTTACCCACAACGAGCAGGAAGACGGAGCCATGCATGGTGGGGGGACCAGATATCTTTATAACTCAGTGATGGGCTTCTAAATGTTGGGTGCAGGAGGGAAGTTTTTTGGCGGTTTTAACTGAGATGTGTGTCAGAAACTGATAGCAGGGCGACTCCTCCTGATGCTCCGTCCCGCCCATCAGCTCCTCATGTTGCTTTCTTTTTAGTTTTTAATATTTTTAACAGAGGGACAGGGAAGAGAGAAGAGCAGTGGGAAGGGAGAGAGATCCTTTTGTCAGAAAGAGAAAGGGGGGTAAAAAAGGAGAAGAAGAAATAAAGACAACAAGACCACAAAACCAAGTGCTATGACTGTAAAAATGACTCTGTTCCTTGTGGGAAATATGGGTGGAGAACCTGTAGGAGCTCCTGCAAAAGGACTCAGGGAAGAAA